ATCACCAATGGGATATTTACTATGTGTAATATATAAAAATTGAACCTTTCTATATTCACCTTATAGTTTCTTCACCATGCTTTCTTCCAATTTAGTAAACTGTCTACATCCCAAAAGTTTGAGTCAATAATTGAAGGACCATTATGCAGTTATCTCCACCTAGAATCTTAGCTTTAGTTTAGTTCCCCATTCCATTCCTCATTGTGAAGTCCTCCTCATTTCTCAGTTCTCAGCTGAGCTCTTCACCTGCTGTCCATTTGATATAACTCTGTGCACCCTGGAGATTCTCTGTCACCATTTCCTCTATTGCTGTCTTCGTAACAATAGTGTTGACCTAGAAATTGATCTATTAATGTACTGTTCTTATTCGATATTAATGTACTGTTCTTCCTTGATTTTTGTCTTGCTAAAATGTAAACTCCAAAAGGTAGGTACTTTTTCTGTTTTCTTTCTCACTGCTGAGCAGAAATGGTTAGTGGCACATAGTAGAGGCTCAAGGAATACCGAATGAGAAAAAACTTTAAGCCAATGTCTCTTTCCTCCTCCCTGTCCCGGAGATTAAACCTGTGGTAGGCAAGTGTTCCACTACTGAGCTATATCCACAGATATTTAAATTGTTATTATTAGAAATTGTTGGAAACAGATCTTGCTAAGTTGCCCATGCTAGCCTTGAATTTGTAATCCTCCTGCCTCATCCTTCTGAGTAGCTGGGAATATAAGCATTTTTGTCCAGCTAATTCAATGTGTTAAATTTCTTTTGTGTTTCATTTAGTGATCACCATAGTGGGAATTTGATTTACTTAGTGTTTAACCAGACTTTCATAAGATGGAGGACAGACAAAGCTCAAATATTATGTAGCATTTGGCTTTTCATACCACTTGATTCAATAATGCTTTAAAGTATGGGCCATAAAAAATGGAGCACTAGAAAGAAATAGCAGAAATTAAGGGAAATACTGATGTAGAGAAAGATTATTTTGATTTACGAATATGTTTCATTGGATGTTCATTTCTAGTAACAATGAATATTTCATAATATAAAATATCCATCAATTTTCTTTTTTTTATAGAGAAAAAATAACCTGTCTTCTTTTGCTTGATTAAAACCTAGTACAGCAAAACAGTGCAGGACTTTCTAATCATCAAAGAGAGATTAAGTTATGCTCAGTGTCCTTTTATTGTTAATATCTTTAGCCTATCTCTGAAAATTCTCTATGTATTTAAATAAAAAGTAAAATACTTTTTACTCATTTTGATTCCTCTGAAGTAGAACAGCACTGTGTATTTTTACAAACCTTCCTTTGGATTTAGATGAAGATATTTAACATGCAAAGACTAATTATCATGTTTTAAATGAGGTATTAAGTTATTTGTTCCTTTCTTTTTACTTAGACTATAAAAAAACACACTTAGGAAGGTAATTCAAATGTGGCAGTTTTTGTTTTACAGTAGTAATGGTTAAGACTAAAAGTGAAAGAAATCAGAATACAACTTAGACTTTGTTAAGTTCAAAAGTAGTGTTCAGTAGTTCATATGTGCTGATGTGTTCATGAGGCAAAGGATTCATAAATGGCTCCAACATGGAAAGATCTTGTCCCATAAGGTGGTGAATAAGTGAAGAGTCAGTGGTCACTAGCACCTAAGAGCACATTTCAGTCTCATTCAGGGACCAATAAAAGAGAGGTCTTTCACTTTCCCAGAAGAAGTTTGGTAGAAGAGTAACCAATCCCTATGATTACCCCAGCCTGAGTTACTCTCCCATCTTTTGGGGAAAGAAGGTAGAATCTGTTTTCAGAAGTCAGAAAGAAGAATAGAGCGGTGCTTTGGCTGCCTGAACCTGGAACACATCACTACACTTGCCTCTGCTAAACGTAGTGCATCTCTCCTACCCATGATCAACCCCTCCTCAGCACGATGCTGCCCCAATCACAACTGGCCACTGGAGCCACATGTACTGATGCTCTTGATGTCCAGGACAATCCTCTGGGTGATATTTACTTCTTTTCTTTATCAAGCCCAATTGTAGCTCCTTGTGATTCTCAGCAACCTGTAGGGCAAATGATAATTTTAACCAGCTTTGGCACAATCAATATAAATTTGAAGCAAGTATAGTGTTATCGAAATTGAAATTGTCATTTAGAAAGGAGGAACAATGTTAGTCCCTAGTTCAGAGTATATATCATATCCTGCTGTCAGTGATAGTAAACATTGTTTCCCTAACAAAGAATTTCTTTGATCAGTCCATCAGCCCCTCTGGGTCCAGTCCACTGGAAGGACCCCCCTTATTGTTCTCCAGAACACCCTAAGAAGCATGTGGTGCAGAAGACACACAAGGTATAGCTGCAGCAATTGAGGAGCCACTTCATGCGTACACAGGAATATAAATTTGTGGATTCTTTTGTCATGTTCAGAGGTGTTTTATGTACTTGGTTTTGTTTTTGTTTTAATCCTGTTTTATGCAATAGAACTCCCTAAAAACCTGTCTATTGTTTATTAATTTTACAAGTGAATTAGTACCTTATGGCTAAAATATTTTTTTGAGTTTGTATCTTCACTTCTGATTCTGCCCTTGAAGTTCTAGCAATAAGTATCAGGGCTTTGTCCATTCCCTAAATCTTTATAAGCCCCCACATTTCTTAGCTTTTTTTTTTTAACTTATCCTATTTTGAGACCAGTGGAAACAATAGGAATTTGTCATCTGCTTCTAGCCTTCATCCCAGTTTTTCCTTTCAATGGGATACTTAATTTCTCCTCCTCCTTCCCTTTCATGCACAGGACAGCTATACCAGGAGGTATTAAATTTAGTCCTAGACGATCGGGTGTCCACTTTGATATTCCTCCTTGGTCCCCTTCCTGGCTGGAAAGTGAGGGAGGTGATCCTGAGTTCCAAGATTACTTGAAAATGGCACAAGGAACATCACATCTCTCACTGCAGTTGCATAGTGATTCTTTTCTGCTTGTAAATGAAGCTTAGAATATGACTTTTCACTTTCTTTTGGCCACTAGAGAAAAGGTCACGGAACAAACATTTGTACATTTATCTCTCAAATTCTCAAAAGTTGCTGCCTCATTGTAATCCTAAACTCAAGCAAAAATAATTAGACATTCTGATCTTTCCTATATTATTTATCATCTACTTTTACTTTTCTTTCTCTAAAGGATCTATTTAAATCTGCTGTTTCTCCTGACTTCCATATTCCTAGACATTGGTCTGCTTTTATCTAACTAATGGTCTGGGATTTTCTTAGTCAGTCAGAGGCAGCTCTTGCATCTCTTTCATAGTTGCTCCCTGCAGTTCTCCAGTCCTGTATCACCAAGAACACCACCTCAGCTCTGATCACTCCTCGCTCCTACTCATGTAATAATTTGCCAGCATTTTTCACCAATTATTTACTTTACCCTTCCCTAACTTGTGATATCTATTTCTCTTTAATTTTATTAAAAGTGTAAGCTGATAAACCGGCCTTCGGCTCCTAAACCTTTAGAAACCTTATTTATGTCATCATTCCATCAGTTCTTTCCCTGTGCTAAACACCACGATAATTATTATAGACAAAATGATGAATGATACAGAGCTTCTCACTTCCACAGTCTACAGTCTTCCAGGAGAGAGCAAACTAACCCAACTTTAAAGAAAGACTTCTCTTGCTGGTTTTCAGAATTCTGTAATATGAACACAACTTCTACCCATCTCTCAGTGATGAAAACATTCATCTGACCTTTAGATACCTGTGGGTTTTTTCTATGTATACAAAAAAAGAGCTGTATATGGTGAGAACATAGTGACGTTTAGGGGACTCTGATATGAGACTGTGACTTAGGGCATGGCATAAATTCTTGGTGTCTCAGTCTCACAATTGAATAGAAATAGTAAAAAATAATCACTGGCATGTATTGCGTACTTACGTTAGGGCAGCAGAAGCTAGTGGTGAGAAGCACAGACTCTTATCACTTTGCCTGGGTCTGAGTCCTATTCTCCTTAAGAGCAGGATGATTTTATACCTCAAGAGCTGGACATGTTCATCTGCAAAATGGGGAGAAGGAGGTTGGGGATGATTAAGTTAATATAGTAAAAGAGTTCCTAACACACCATAAGAGCTCTATAAATCTTAGCAATTTCTTTTATTACTTTTCTAGATAATAAATTGGATTTTCTAGGTGACAATATAGATTACTTCTCCATGTTTCTCTAATCCAGGAACTAAATCCTTTGCCCAAGGCCACCCAGTAAGTGTCAGAGTCAAGGTTTCAACCTTGACATTTTCACTGTAGAGCAGGTATCAGTAACTATTAACCCATATGGCCTTCATTTCAGGATTACTATAAGACTGTGATTAAAGAAAAATTTAATAAAATTTAAAAGAACAATGCATTATGAAGATGTGATTGAAGGGCAGAATTATTTTTTTCTTTCTCACAGCTTCAAACTATTTAGCTATTCCAGTGATTATGTTCATAAACATTTTATTGTATTATAGAATTTAGACAACATTTTCATATAAACAAATTTATACACACATTTACATAATTAACACTGGCACTTTCTGAGGTTGGCAAAATAAGTATTATTATCTCCATTTTAGAAATAAAAATGCTGAGTATCAGAAAAGTTAAATAACTTGCTCAAGTTTTCAAATGGTAAATGAAAAAATCTCTAACATATGTCTGAAGCTCTAAACGTCACCTTTTGCTTTATGGCAGTAACCTACTCTTTTTAATGATTAGTTGCCAACAGAAAAACAAATTTTTATAACATAGTTTAGCATTATACTATGAATGTGTTTGTGTGCATTTCTTTCTGTCTAAAAATCTGAGCGAAACCACTCCCAGTAGCACCATCAGCTGGGTCAGTAGCACCATGCAGCACCATGAGCTGTCATCCTACGAGGTTTTAGGGTTCCTTTAAGATCTAATTCCTTCAAGTATGCAAATATTATTATATCTTTGTGCATAACAGTCCACCTACTTGAACTTATGTTCTTGCCTTTTTCTTTTTAAAGATTGTGATTGCTAGCATCATGTGCAGTTACAACAAAAATGACTGGATGGAGCTCTCCAAAATGGCTGAGGTAATGGTTTCTTCAGTGTACATTAATTTTATTTCTCCTCTCCTGTTTTTATTAGTTTTAAATAAAAAGCTGCCATGAAAAATAATGCAGAAGGAATGAAATTGAATTGAAAATGTAACTTAAAACATTTCTATTATAATTTGTTTATCCCGTGTTTTCATTAAAATGATGGAAATGTAAATTTAAAAGGTATCTATCCTATAAAAGTAGTCCCTTGGATTTCACATACTACCTAAAAGTCCTTTATTCTCTGAATCCAGATACTCCATATTTGCATATTAAGCAAACTGTATATTATGATGGATGTCATGATAAAATTTAATTCTACCTTTGAGAGTCTAACTTGATCTTACCTTGCCTTTAGGCAAACTAGTTTGATAGTAAGAGAAGAAATTTTGAATATAAAACTCTTGAATATTTAAAATATAAAAGGTTCACTTAATACTGTTCTTGTTTGAATACAGACATGCATAAAATAGTAGGACAGAATGCTTCTGAATGGAAGTCAGCAAGTTTTCCATAATATAAATTGAATCTTGCACAAATCCAGACAACTAACCATGTGCCTCAATTTTGTATTTCAAGTAGAAAAATACATAATAAAAATTGTACACTTATGTTCCTCATTCTGTCTTGGAACCCAGTCTACATGCTCTTAGCTGGAGTTTCTTAAAAAGCTCTCAGTAATGTAAAAGACTGAACCTAACGAGATTTTCAATATAATTGACTTCACATTATAAAATATTGTGAGGCTCTCTATAGTGTTAAAAATGTTAATTGTACATTTTATTTGGATATTTTAAAACTGTAAGAGGAAAAATTACTTCTGGGACTTAGAGGGGTGAAATTAAACATGATCAGTAATTGGTTTCATGATCTTCTGTGCTGGGTCCATTTTATACATGTATTTACCTAATTGACCATGAAATCTTCCACAGAGCCTGGGCTTTGTATGAGCTTTGCCAATGTTAAGCTGACTATGATGAATGGCTTTATCATGCTGCATGCTTCTCTGCCTTTCTGAAAGAATAAAATACTTTAAAATATTATTTTCTTCAGTAATGGACATTAATTTTTAAATAGGTCAATTTACTTACAAAATGTCAATTAATTAATTTATTTAATTATGGCATACTAGATAACATACTTTTCACATTCCATTTCTTTCTTTAACTGCAGTTTTATTTGCATGAACTTCTAAATACATTAAAGCATAAATAAATAAAGGGAGAGAAAGAAAGAAAGAGAGAAAGAAAGAAAGAAAGAAAGAAAGAAAGAAAGAAAGAAAGAAAGAAAGAAAGAAAGAGAAAGAAAGAAAGAGGGGGGGAGAGAAAGAAAGAAAGAAAGAAAGAAAGAAAGAAAGAAAGAAAGAAAGAAAGAAAGAAAGAAAGAGAAAGAAAGAAAGAAAGAAAAGTGTATGCTTCTGTTTAGTAAAAACAGCCTGTGAAATTTCTGCACAGGACTGCAATCTACATATTGAGAAGGTCAATCTGTACATAGTGCTAATTTATAACAATTCCCTATAGTCTTAAATCTAGACTAGCCTAGGGGTATGCCAAGAAGCAAGCCTCTCCAGGCCTTCACATCCCCTTGGAGGACAGCATTGGTAGTATGATTCCATCACAGATCAAAAATGTATTCAAGCCAAAGTTACTGTACTGCACTGCCTAATACATCAATTTTGGGGGGAGTGATGATAACAGAATGTAAGAGATCAGATACCACACAAGCACACTAGTGTTCCCACAGCTTTAAGTTTAGCAAATGACTTGATGTGATGTGTATACTTTAAATTCATGAAGTTCCTCTCCTTATGGTAGATTAATTTTTGAGTTATACAATAAGGAGTTAAGAAAACTTGTCATGAGATTTTTATTACTAAATCTGAAAACAGAAATGACATGTGTATAGCAGCAGAACAGATACAGATGTACAGGATCATGAAAAAATAAAGACTGAGAAACTGTTAGAATTGAAATTTGCACAGGAGGGGGTTATTAGTGTTTGTTTCACCAGAGTCTGCCACAAAGTTTTCTAATTTTGAGTAGATATTTAAGACTGAGTGAGTTGGGACCGGGGATTTAGCTCAGTGGTCCTGCCGCCTGCCTCACAAGTTCAAGGTCCTGAGTTCAATCCCCAATACCAAAAAAAAAAAAGATTGCATGAGTAGTTAAAAAATAAAAGTAGATATATTTTTAAAGTATATTGTTAAGCTAACTGCTGTTTGTAATTATACCTAGTCCATCTTCTTTGTAATACCCATATCCTTGAGAAAGTTTTGTTTTATCCTGGAAATGAAACGATGCCGAACCGAGCCTTCCTATGTACTCTAGCCTTAGAATTTGCATGTTTGAAATGTCTTATATGGCCCTCAGCCTGATTTGAATTATCAGATTTCTTGAACACCATCAAAAAAGAAGCCATGCCTGGAAAACTTCCATATCTTGGTGAAACTTTTCAGCAAATCAATAGTATAGTTAGACTCTGCTCAGTTTTCTTGGTGTAGATGGCTGATCCTACACTCTCCTAGTCTTTTGTGACACTGCTACTCTATTACAGTTTCACATACAAAAACATTTATGTGTGAATATTTTTGCCATCTAAAACAAAAGTGAATAAGAGATAGCCTCTTCAGTGTGGACAAGTTCACAGTTTAAATGTAGTCAGATATATACCAAATTGAGCCTATCCTGAAAGCTTAAAAATATTGGATTTGAAAATGTTTTGCATAGATTTTAATAGATCTTAAATCCATTTCTTTCTTACTGTATATTAGCCTACAAAACAGAGTCACAGTTAAGAGAAGGCTTCATTAAAGTGTGTAATTCTAGAGCAGTATATGTAACCCAAAAAAGAAAAATGAGAGAGGGAAGAAGGGAAAGTAAATACATATGGAATGGTACACGACAGAGGCTGTAACAACTTCAGAAGTAAATAAAACAGACTGCTTAGTCATGTGGGGCAGGGATGCCATACTGACCATCCTGTTTTATAGGAGTTTAGAGGAGAGGAAGGATAAAAAATATGTCTACTGGCTGCTTCCTCTCATGGGTCCTACCTTCTCTGTGTGTTCTATCTACTATAGCAGCTGCTAGGGAAGTCAGACCCTATACCATATGACCTGATTCTTCATCTCAATCCAGAATTGGAGGAAAAGGCCAGAATTTCTTAGACAGGACCACTGGCACTTCTGGGGCTCCCACTTAGATACATGTAGTGGATACTGTAATGAAACCCAGTTTTCCTTTTAAGAGAACCTGTGAGAGATGCCAGAGGTGAGTGAGAACAGTAACAGGGATTGGGCCTCCCTTCTGAGAGGGTGCTGCTGGGTAGCAATTAAGGCCATCACATTTGAAGATGCATATAAATCGGATGTAGTCCAAGATGAATTATTATCACCCTAATTGAAGTTTATCTACAGTGATTTCATTACTCTTCCCTGTTTATCCAAAATCTTTCTCCATCTTTCCTAAATTAAAAACACTTGACCTATAAGTCCTGCATGATCTGGCTACTGTCCAGCTCCCTGATGTCACCTTGGGTATATTCTAGCTCCCATTCCCTTCATTTACTCTTTCAACACATGCCCAAACTAGGAACTTTTCCCATGCTTACAGCTTCTAATGCCCTCTCATCCTCAATCTGAACTCTGGTTGAGGAGGGTAAACTTCTCTGACACTCCACAGGATCTTATCTTCAGAGGCCAGTTTACCATAAAGTTAATGAAGCTTAACCTTTCTATCCCTTACTTCTAAGCCCCTGCATCTAATTTTGTGTCATAAGTTTTTATTTTATAAAGGACAGTACTCAAAATTATTTAAGCTTCAGGCTCTCTCTAATCTGGATCTATTTCTGTGTGTTTTTCCTCTGTAGCATTTGATAAAGAGGAGATTCACACTGGTGTCACTGGACATTACTAATGGTCAGTCTGCCTTGCTTGTTACAAATAAGCTTCATAGGGGTAGAGCCCTATTTGGGTCACTGCTTGGTCACCAATCGCAAGTGTAGGTCTTTATTCACCAACAGGTATTTGTTGAATGAATGGCTAGAGGTGCAAGGCTCAAAATTGCCATGTGTCAAAGGAAAAGGAAGCCATTAAGGAGTAAATAAGAGGAGTGGCACTTTATTTGGCACTAACAAATTTCAGGTGATTAACATCCAGAGCCAAAGGTTTTATGTCAGGAACCAGATGAGGGATTGCCAAGGGCTAACCATCCCATTGCTGGTAGGATGAGACAAGGAGGGTCTCTGTAGAGGCACAGGAATCAAAAACAGGTGACAACACTACTCCTAGTAGAATCAAAATAAAACACCCAGAAACCCAGGTTCTCATCATTTTTCCCTACATTTGGGCTAGTAATATGTTATTTAATTAAATATGCTAAAGTATAAAATGGAAGTAGGCACATTACAGAGATCCATAAAACCAGTTGGACATGAGTATCTATTATGGTTAAACTTGGTTGTGTCAACTTGATTGGCTTAGAAGTTTCCCAGGGGATTAGTGGAGCACACTTTTGGGTGTGTCTGGGTGAGTCATCTCAGGTGCTATATCTAGCTCTAGGTCCTTTTCTCTCTGGCACTGTTCCCCTGCTATACTTCCTTGCCACCATGAACTAAGCAGCTTTACTCAACCATATCCTTCTCCCATGATGTTCTTGCCTTGGAGCCTTCTGACCATGTACTGCTGACCCTGAAATTATGAGCTAAATTAAACCTTTCCTTCTTTAAGTTGTCTGATACTGTGTCCCAGAAACAAGAAATCTGACTAATTTAGTCACTGAGAAGTGGCAGTAAGACAGAATGGAATAAAGGGACATGGGAACCCAGCTAAAGATGAATGCAGTAGTTGCCTTTGCATCCATTTGGGTCCATGCCAGTTTAATACACCGGGTTTATCCCAAAGAGGTTTTTGATCCTAGAGAACTTTTATCTCCAGTTTTAGAGAGTTAAGACGAGATGACATAGTTAGAAAGTCAGCATCTGGTTTCTGTGTTCCTTGAACGGAAGAAATTTAAGAGATAATCCAAGAACTATATTTTTCTTGCCCCACCATGGAACACTGACTTCACTCTGCTTGGGTTCTGATGCCCTTTGCCAGCCCCAGTAGAGAAGTCTTTCCTCTGCACTGGGGCTCTGATACACCAAGCCATCCTCTAAGTGGCTGTCCTTCTCACTGTATCCAGACTCAGACACCCCACCCTGGGCTCTCATGGGTCCTCTTCAAATGCTCAGGACACCACCTTGCTCTGCCCTACAGAGTGACATTAGAACTATATTGATCAGATGACAAGGGAAAGACAGGGAGGAATAAGGAAAGGAGAAGGAGAAGGGAAAGACTTTTGTATCTGATTTTGTATATTCTGTACAAAAGTTTGTGTGTTTACTACCCTATTTTATCTAGTAGATTTTATAAAAGATTCAGGAAATTTTAGAAATCATACAACTGCCATTATTCTAAGAATTCTTCAGGATAGGTTTTTTTGTCCTTTCTTTCTTTTTCTTTTCCTCCATGATGTATAGGCCATGTAAGGCACCATGAGTTATATAAAATCTTTTCAGATCCGGGCAGCTTTTGGACAAGTCAAAAGTTCTAGTTGGATAGATGATAGATAGATAGATAGATAGATAGATAGATAGATAGATAGATAGGTGATAGATAGACAGATGGTGTTTGGTTACACTTAACTCAGTACTAACTTCAGGCATTGTTCCAAGTCATTTATATTTACTAAATATATGTAGATCTTACAACAAAATAACATTGTTCTGCAGCTTTTTGGAGGTGAAGAATCTAAGCAAAAAACATTTACATAATGTTTTCAAGTTCATATAGCATGTATCTGGTAAAGATGGAATTCAGACCCATGAAATTTGGCTCCAGAATCTTTTGCAAAAACATATACACTCTTTCTTACAGATTAATGACAAATAAATGAACATTTCCTCTATCACTACCTTCACGAGGTTACTTTATTTTACAATTATTAGGTAAGGTAGAATAAATTTTGAGCTAAATAACTAAACTGAAAAGCTTGTGACTAACGTGAAGCAGAATGCATGCCCAGTTTACTTTTTGAATGGTTTTAGTTGCTTGGAAATGGAATTAATTGCCTTTTAAAGTGGTGTGCATCCTGTCAGGAGTATTGAAGTGGAGGCCAAATGAATGTTCCCACTCACTTGGGGTCACCATGAGTGCCACTCTCAATTTTTGAGGCTTAGGTGATCATTTCAAAAGCCTTTGCAGAGGTAGCTAGCTGGTTGATACGTGTTGGTGTGTGTATATAATAGTGAGAAAATTTTAATAACTATTCCCTAATAATGCTTTGTATCAGACAGATGGTTTTAAAAGATTTTAGTTTTCACTTTAATTTTAGAGGCCATAAGGATCTCCAACTGCTGTGTTTTTCTTAAAACACTGCAAAAATCCCAAACATAGAATAAGTGATTTCTTAGTAACAGTAGTAAGAAGGCTTTGGATTCAAAATGCTTGGGTTCACTGCCTTACCCCGAATAATAGGTTGTAGGATGTTGATAAATCACTTGTACTTTTTATGATTTGGTTTTATAAGTTGTAAAACAGGAATAGTGATATATCCTACCTATTACAGCTATTTTGAGGATGAAGTAAGATAAAATATACAGAATACCAAATAAGATAGCCTAGCATATGGTAAATAGTCGTTGATGTTAGCTATTATTATGTACTATGGTAACTAATTATAAATTGTATAAAATTTATAAACTATAAACTTTCAGGGAAATGTGCATAATTAATTTTACATACAAAGGCCACCTAAATTTTATCTGATTCAAAATGTTACTGAATTGATTTGCTATTAATTTTCTCATTTTCAACTAAATAAGAAATCCAGAGAATTTCTGAAGTATTTATAGTAACCAAAAACTAACAAGAAAAATGAAGTATTACATATAATTCCAATGTATCATCTCAGTTAAGCTGGCAATTCCCACATGACACTATTTTGAGACATGTCATATTTGCAGTTCCCACTTATAGCAGAGACAAGGATGGTTAACTGACTTGTCCAAACCATCCCTGATTCCTTAGCAGCAGACCTAGGATTAGAACTCATCAGTCTGTGCCTTGTCCACACTCACTATCGAGCCAGCAGAAAGAATGTTACATAATTTAAAATAATTTTCAAATAACGTGGAGCATTTTAAAATTGGATTAGAGTATCAAAAAGCCATGATGAGGCCATGATAGAAAACAGGCTGGATGACCAATTGAACTTTCAGAAATGTACAAAAGAAAAAGTGGACTCACTAATGAGTAAAGACAAGCAAGAAAGTGGACTCAGAAACAGCTAACTGGTGTTGGTAAGATTGTTGAGATCCTATTTAAAATTCATAAAGCAGAGAAAAAATTAGGCTAAAATTTTGAACAATTGGGAAGAAAAGAGAAACTTTGAAGATACAGCTTTTGGCCTAAAAAACTAGGCTTAGAAATATACTTAGAAAATGATGAATTTTTTAAAAGTTTTTGCGTGCAGCAATGGGCATGTTACAATAATATTGAAAATTGTTTCAAGCTTTTGGTTGACCTTACTTAAAAAGAAATTGTGGCATTGGAGAAATTCTAGACGTTAGACAAGAGAATATAAAACTTGAATTTAGTTATGTGAAGAAAATAGTGTCTTTGCAGTTTTAAAGACAACTGTAAAATAAGTGTTTCACTTCTAAAAAAACCCTTGAATGTAGTTATTACTACATTCTTCAAATTACTATATTAAACTTAGAAAACATTTTGTTTATTCTTAAAGTTTGTTTTTTAAATTTCTTTGTTTCTAGTACTGGGAATTAAACCCAGGACCTTGTGCTTGCCAGGCAGGTGTAACACCAGTGAGCTACATCCCAGCTCAATTATTAAAGTTTTTGACATAGTACTTTGCAGAGATTCTGAGATTCTCAAAGAACTATAAACTCTTTTGTTCATTTTGACATAACTCATTTGTTTACTGTGGAATTAACGATTTAAACAAGGATTCCTGTTTGGTCATTAAAGTCAGACAAAACTATCAGTGATCCGTATTTCTTAGCATGGACTGTTTTTAAATGTGATAAAAATGGTTTTCAGTTAAAAACATTTTTAATAGCACCAGGGATTTAGCTCCATGGTTCCTGTGCCTGCCTTGCAAGTGGAAGGTCCCGAGTTCAATCTCCGGTATCAAAAAGAAATTTTTTTAATTTACTCATTTATTCTAGCTAAACTACTACATTTTTATGCATGCCTCCTCCCCATATCAGTTATGCAGAATTAGTAAGATTTGTTTCTATAAAAATAGAGCTGTTTAGGAAAAAATAAATGTAGTGTCAAATAGATCTAAGTTAAAATCTCAACTGTGTCACTTAACACTGAGGCTTGCCATTCATTCACCTCTTAGGTTTCAGATCTCTTCTCTGTCAAATAAGCATAATAATACAAGGATTGTGAGAATTAGAGATAACAAATATTAAGCATAGAGAACAATGAGCAGTACCATTTAAGCATTCAGTAAGTGTTTTATTGTTATTATACATACCTTAATTTGATAAAGTTAGAATGTACCCCACAGATAGCTGTAATATGGAAAACTGAATCATTAAAATTTAACAGATATAACCTTAGTTATCAGAGGTAAAAGCATATTGATTTACAAATAAAGTTTTACTCTTTCTTCATTTTCCTTCCCTGTCTTAAAGGCTTCTGGAGCAGATGCCCTGGAGTTAAATTTGTCATGTCCACATGGGATGGGAGAAAGAGGAATGGGCCTGGCTTGTGGCCAGGTAAGGACTTCCACAGCTGCCACTGTGTGTATCAGGTGACATAACAGGTCCCTGCGTGGATCATCACTATACTTTAGGCGAGATGCCTGGGTCAGATGACTGGCTTGAAACGTCCAGGTCTGCATTGTTTAAATATTTAGTGCTTAAAAAGTGGAAAATGAGGGAGGCTGAAATTACAGCAACTGTTTAGTTTTATTGAGGAAAATATCACATTATGTGCTTGACAGAAAGTAATATCATAACAAATAGTTTTTAAAAGCGCTGAAGCAGAATTAGCTGATTTCAGATGCAATGTTCTTTATTCATTCCTGATGCTGAACCAGTTTCCCTGGGGCAATATACTGTATGAAATGTATTGTTCCTAGTGATTTTGTAGTAAATGGGGCACAGCACAAATTGCATTTTACATTTTTTAGCATATGATCATTATTCCCTAACTGTGTTTGGGGAGCTGCAAAAAGATTTGATCCTATTTTTATTTTGGGGTATAATGAATGGAACCTTCATGCTAAAATACTTTCAAAAACTTAATGAATATAATGTTAATTAATGTGTTAATATAGAGAGAATGCTGTATCTTTATGTAACTAAATGCAATATTGTATGTTAAAAAGCAGTATAAAATCTTAATACTAAAAAGGTGGGTGTTTGCATCTAGTTTCATCTTTAAGCCCAGAGGGAAATGGTATGAATTAAATAATGTGAAATCTTTTAATTTCTGACAGACCTTTGGTTCCTAGAAAGTTTATATTTATGTTCATGTTTGGTCCAGAGATTTTTACGTAGTAGGGGTTCAACTTCTTTTTTTTCCTTTATCTAATGTGACTGAATTTTTTTGAATTAAACTTAGAAGCTCTTAATATTATAGGGCAAAAAATTTTTTTTTATTCAAATGAATGTGGATTGTTATTTTCATATTAGCATTCAGAGAGATTTTTAACACACTTTGTAAATATTTAATTAGCACTCAGAATAGATTTGTGACCTAGAAAGAAATCATTCTTATGAGACAGCAGGAGAGAAGACACTGGTCCAGTATTTTTCAAGTATGTCTTGTGTCCCATTCATAAAGAAGTTACAGAGAAGTAAGTACGGTAGTAGAACCATGACTCAGAATGAACTAGTAGGGGCAAAGTAGAATTATATCTCATACAGTAGTCATTGAGTCAAGATGTGCAGCAGGATTAATGAGGCAGCTCAAGGAGGAAGGCTCACTCCTAGGAGGAGGCCAATAGTACGCTCTGCCCACCTCCAGAAAAGGTTGTCCCTTTCACAGTCCACAACTTGGGACCCAGCTAATGTCAATCACATGCAGAAAAACTGCTAGGAAGAATTTGAATCTATTCACTAATTTTTTAAGGAAGGATGCATTTTAATATTTATCCTTTGTCATAAATATGATAATTATACTGAAAATATTGCTTAAGTTCCAGCCAAGTTTATTTTTAAGGCTTTGCTCTATGAGTACAAATGCACTTATCCAGTTGTGAAATATCTTAGGTACATCCTCTCTTGAGAGTTAGTTAGCTATGGAAATTTTTTCCCAGGCCTTGTGTGAATGAGAATGCTAAATGCTAAAATTCTATAGTTACCAATAGCTTTAAGATTTCTCAAACTCGGGCCGGGGATTTAGCTCAGTGGTTTTGCCGCCTGCTGCGCAAGCACAAGGACCCATGTCCGATCCCTGGTACCAAAAAAAAAAAAAGATTTCTCAAACTCTTGGAAAACGTTTACTTTCCAAACCATGATATCTTGGCTGCAGCAAACTTGGGAACAATTCCATTTCACTTATTTGTTATAATCCCTTGAAAACCAAAAGCAATTCTTTTAGCCAAGTTTAAAACTTGTTGTTGAATCATGTTCTCTTGTAATTATAAAATTGAAAAATAAAATTAATTCTGATCGATTTTGTTCCAACATGTTTTAAATGATTATTCTGCCCCAGGATATATAAATGTGCAGGTTTTAAATGAAAGGAAGAGCACAAGTGCTGTTTAAAAATGATTTCTTATAACTGACTTTTTGAAGTGACCACAAGCACTATCTGGTGCTTATTTGCCTTTATCTCTGCTTCTTTTCACTCTTCTCTACCTCTTATTTCCAGTGCTTATTCCTCTCCCTGAGTTCCAAAGTGTTGAACACTTGGTATTTGGAGTGATGCTGAAATTGTGTTCAGGGGTGGGAAACTGAAGAGCTATTCCAAACAGATGTGCCTTCCATTGGTTGAATATTCCTATGTGCCAAGCGTAAAGCTCTCTGCAACCTCAGAGCCTGATAAATGCTTGGTGCATGAATGAGACATTGACATTACTTCAATGGCTAGAGCATTTACCTACAAGACATTTTCTTCTCTAAACGCTTCTTTTCTTCCTCTTTCACCTTATTTTTCTTACAATATTTAATAAGAGAATACTCCCTTTGTACCTAAGACATTGTGCCTGTATATAATCAGTATAAATTATGTCTATAAATAATAAATGACTAAAATTATAAAATTTATGAAGAAAACTATCTCAGTGACATATAAACATTGCACTTTTTTATGAAATTTGTAAAGATAAAGGAAATCTAGAGCTGATCTTAATAATTTAAAAGTCATGTTTTCCACAAAGTGAAACTTCATAAAAAAAAACTTAAATACTTTCAGCAGTCCTCAGTGTTTAAATGTATTCTTATTTTGTATTCATTCCATCAACTGTCACCTTGATCAAACCACTACTGTCCTGAAGCATGCATTTTCTTATCTAAAATTTGAAATTTTTACGAGATGATCTCTAAATTCCCTTCCAGCTTTTAATATTTTGTGAATGTTAACATAATAAGTAGTTGGCCTAACTGCTTTAAAGTAAGACACAGAATCATTTTATGTTGCTCTTTTTAAAAACACTTTCCCTACCCTACATAAAGTCAGTATTTTACAGTAATCACCTTCTGTGAGGGATACATTTTAAGACTCCTACGGGGTTCCTGAAACCAGTACTAAGTTATATATATATATATATGTGTGTGTGTGTGTGTGTGTGTGTGTGATATATGTGTATATATATATATGGCAGTATATACGTATATACATATGCCTATGATAAAGTTTGATTCCTTCATTAGGTACTGAAACAGATCAATAACACCTAGTAATACAGTAGAACAACTATAATAATATTCAGTAATAATAATTGTTTAAATGTATTTCTAGAGCCTTTTATTTAATATGTTTGAATCACAGTTGGTTGCAAGTAACTGAAACTACAAAAAGTGATATCACACTATTGTCCTTATGCGATTTTTTATTATTTCTATACCGACTGATACTGCTCATTTTTTGGTATATTTTATTTCTTTTATAAGTGAATATCTAAGTAGCAGTTGTTTTAAAAAGGCTATAATTAGCTAAATAGTAATATGGTACTTAAAGTGACTAAATTAAAACCTTCAGTTCTTTCTACATGAGCCTACTCTTCCATTTTATTGAATGGTATCCCCAATAACTTTGAAACTCAAGTAAAGGTGAAAATGTTTTGTTTGTGTTCACTTCAGAGGGTTATTATATTACAAATAAAAAAAAATACTACTCATCTTCTCACAGTCCTCTCCAGTAGGTTGTTTTAATCCCAAATCTCATCTTTTGCAAAACAGAGGCCAGTGTGTTTCCCAGGTCAAAAACCTGGCCAAGGGCCATCACAGCCTGCAAGCTAATTAGCATGTTAGACTGATTGTAGGAGGGGCACCTAGAACCATTCTCAATAATAGATATTACAATAGCAGCATTTAATAGGATTATTATTAAATGAAAATTAAGTGGAGATTAGTCCACTCTGATGTCTTGGAGTTGTAAATTCCTACTTCTCTAAATATATAATAACATAAGCAAACCTGAACCTACTATTTAACTTCTGTCTTCTGGGAATAAGATAGTGTTATGGTTTGTGCCTAGATGTCCCACCAAAGCCTCATGTGGTCATAGGTAGGGTTGTTTTTGTTTTTGTTTTCAGAAGTGGCTGGATCTAGAGTGTGCCATGCTGGGTTTAAGGATGTGTGATTACTAAATCAGTCCACTGATTGGTTTGGCACCTGCCCTCAGCTCGGTAGCCAAATAATATTAAAGGCACAGAAAGAAGCTGCTAAAGTCACTTGGACTTGCTGCTTTCTGCCTTCTGCCTGCCCTGCTTTGCCATGGACTGTTTCTTCTCTGCAATGCCCCTCTCCCATGCCACCCTGCTTTGGAGCTAGCCAGCTATGGACTAAAACCTCTAAGAACTATGAGCCAAATAAACCTTTCCTCCTTTAATTTTGGATAGTGGGTGTTTTGTGTCAGCAATGAGAAGAGTAACTAAGACAGAATTTGAAACCACAAAGGTGTGGTTGTTGCTGTAATTATATCTGACCATGTGTTTTGGGAGACTTTGGGACTGGCTTGTGGGAAGAGTTTGGAAAGGTTCAGAGATGCCAGCTGAAAAAGCACCCCTGGAATGCCTGAGCATATACTTGATGGGAGATTGTGGTCAGATCTCAGAAGACCAGAATGCTGCTAGAATGTTGCCAGTAAAGGCCAGGCTCAAAAGGTTTCTGCTGGGAAGGACTGTATTGGCTGTTGGACTCTAGAACATGTGTGTTATACCTTGGAAGAAAGTTTGTCTGCTTTTTGCTCTTGTCCAGAGAATTTACCTGAGACTGAGATTAAGGGCAGCAAACTAATTAATTTTGCAGAAGAAATTTCAAGGCAGTCTATGTTGGGGCAGTGGCGTGGCTACTCTTTGGGGGTTTTAGCCAGATTCATGTTGAGAATCAAGAGCAAAGAGCCCACCAGAATGGTTTAAAACATGGTGAGTTTGGCCAGAAAAGAAGCAACAGTAAAACAGTGAACTGCCAAGATAGAGCAGAGGTGATCTTGATTGCTGAGAAGGAAGAGGACAATAGAAAAAATGGCCTGAGGGCATCACAGGCTAGAGAGAAAGAAGCCTGCCTACTGCTCCACTTGGCAGCAGACCTTGGCATCATTCACA